TGTGTTTGAGTTGATTAATTTGTTGTGTTGTTTTGGCTGCTTGCTGTCGCACTGTCGCGAGTTCTTGTTTCGTTATTGCAACTAACTGTTCAGCTTGTTGTGACTCTTGCATTAACTGATTTTTGTATTGCTGAAATTCTTGCTGTCGAATCTTTTGCATATCGATAATTTGTTGGATTCGTTTAGTCATATCTTCAATTTGATTAATTTTTGCATTAATTTCATCCAACTTTTGTTGACATTCTCGAAATTTTCGTTCGGTTTCTTCGAGTTTTTGTTGTATTTTAGCCAATTCAGTTTGTAATTCTTGAATTTGTCTTTCGATACGTTGAATTTCTTGTTGTAATTGTCGAATTTCTTCTTGTAAGCGTTCAATATGAGCTTGAAGTTCTTGCATTTGATTTTCAATTTGTTGTATTTGACGATTGATCTCTTCTATTTGTCGTTCTATTTGTTGACGTAATTCTTCGAGATGTTCACGCTGTTCTTCAAGTTGTTGTTTTTGATCTTCTAATTGTTGAAGCTGATGTTTTAATTGTTCAAGACGTTGTTCTTCTTGTCGAAATTCTTTTTCTAAACGATCTCGTACTTGTTGTCGAAGCAACTGTTCATTTTGTAGACGTTGTTGTTCATCTTTTAAATTATTTAATTCTTGTTCCAATCGTTCCATTTCAATATTTAAACGTTTAGCTTCTTCTTCCAAATTTTTAATTTCAGTGTCGTATTCTTTGAAGCGTTTTTTTAATTCAGTAATTTGTTTTTGTATTTGGTGTTCGTTCTCTTTATCTATTCGTTGCTGATCGTCAAGGGCTTGAATTTCTGCATCAATTTGTTGAATCAATTCATGATACTCATTGCTATTCAAATTAGTGGCAGCGTTGCGTTCATTTTCTTGGTAAGAATCGTATGCATGAAAGCTTGCCATTAAACTTGATTATTTTGTCATTGGTAACTATGAAGAATGACAAGAAAACAAGAGTAAAAATAAAACTATTATTCCTTTTATAATTATTTAAGGGTAAATGAGAAACGGGAAAATACCCAACGCAAAAAAATTCACTGGAAAAAAAACACAAAAAAATAATATCTGTTAAGCATACATTACGTCAGACTGAAAGATAAGAAAAAAATGTCAGTATCTTTATTTACAAGCGACTATTTTTTCATTCTTTTCTCATATAAAGTGTGTTTTGAAATAGAGTGAAGATACTCAAATTTTTTATCATCAAGCTATTTATGGGCCACTCTGTATATGTAGAGCAAGCAAGTGAATGAACATATATATATATATGGATAATACCTTTAACACAGCTACATTTGATGCCATGCTTTGAGAATATATATGACAACACGAAATACAAATACTATTTCTTTCGGGTTTCGTTCTCTCTATTCGAAATTTATTCTTGGCCCATCTTACGTACTTTTTTTCTAAGGATCGAAAACAGTTTAATTTCATATACGAACAAGATTACATCGGTATTTACTTCTTTTTCGATTCGTTACTATTGTCAACTTCCACAATTAATCATGACAGAAGCAAAAATAACTGTTCCATTATATCTATTACAAGATGGGAAAACTGTTAATAGGGAGCATCTAGAAAACATTCGAAATATTTATAAAGATTTGAAACAAAACGAAGAATTCGGTATTTTTCCTATTGATGAAAAAGCTTTAAATAATGTTTGTCAACAATTGAATCTCATCAATGACAAAGTCGGTAGTGACTATTTGGCATTATGTATCCAAGATGAAGATATTTACACGCCAGAAGTGGTATTGAAAACTCGATATGATACAGATTTGAAAATGGCAAACAATACCGATACACAAAAGAGAAATGTTGTATCGTCGTCTCAATCACAACAGCAAACACCACCAATAGTCATTAACGAAATATTATGTGTATTAAGTAAAAAGATGGATGCAGCAGAAATTAAAGAGTTTATCAATAATTTCTTATTTGAACAAATTCAAAAGCAACCGTTAACAACCAACACAGCGTCAATGTAAGTATCATTGTAAAACATGTAGCATAGATCAAACGAAAAATCAATAACGACAATTAGATGAATTCGAAATTCTCTTAGTTGTTTCTTCAATTCTAATTTTGTCGACCGCTCTGTTGAATCATTGTTGTCACTCTTCGAGAACAAACATATTAGATAGGATAGAATCAAGTTTTCAGAAATTCTAGCTTATATAAAAAGATCTTGTCCACAGTTTCACTCATATGTGCAAAGAGTTCAACTGGTCGATACCAGCTCAATTAACGACAACGAATATCTTACACACCTACTGAATGAGTATGATCTTCCTCAAATCGGTTAGTCTCGATATTCGAAAAATAAAAATAACGAGAATTCTGTAATGTATTGTCCACAAACAATGTAGCTTTTTTCTCTTAGCAAATAGTGAAAACTTTTCGAGGCAACTAAAAGACAAAAGTTTTCTTCATATATATCAGCTTGTAAAGAATTTCGTCTTGCTTTACAATATTCCATTTTTTTAAATTAGATTTTTATTTTCTATTAGAAGACGTGTTAAGTAGAAAATTATTGCTAAATAAACACTATATTACACTCGTCAGTTAATAGATCTATCTTGTAAAGCAAGCAATATAATATGAACTAGCGAGAACCCACGCATACTGCACGGTCGTTTTTTATATCATTGAAAGCAAGTTCTTTGTTAGGATCGGGGGATTATCAGGTACATTATTAAAAGATTTATCTCCGTTGTATCAAAAGAATTTATTCACATGATCTTCACACAATCATGTCCCTTGTAAATGTATTTAAATAAAGATTTGATACTCTTCGCAGTTGCACAGATTTCCACGTTACTATGAGCATTGTATTTCGTTAGTAAGTATGGATTATAGGGAACTATCCATCTGTTGTCAACTTCATGCTTGCCAATGCTCATAGTAATTCCATTATCTCTTCTGCGATATCGTGGATAGCCATCCTTATTTGCCATAGTCTCATTTGGAAATTCTTTTAAGCACGTTCCATCTTCCGTGCAAGGAGAGTGTGGGTTCAATGTTCCACAATGGTCCGTGAATCATATGCCTTCTCACACGTTCATATAATTGTGGAACTTGGACAGGATCTGGTATTTCACTGGATACGATACGATCAATTGAGTTTTCATCCTTTAGCTTGTCTTCGTTGGCCAAAATAATAAGCATGTGACAATGTAAATGTGATGAATAAGTCGGGTTTTCCATATTTTCGGACGATTGCTATTGCATCTTGATAATTCTGTTGCATTGCTCTAGGACTTCCTTGAAAACTTCATGGAAGTATTATAACACGTCTAAGTCTTAAATTTCAATTTCAGCTTCGTTTGCTAAATGATCCATTAGATCTTGATATAGTTCTACCCGAAGAGCCTTTTGATTTTGTCGATGGAATGCAAGTCGATTTTATTCGGTTTTGACATAAGCATCCACAATATATTGCTAGAATAATTTTCCTGCATAGTGCATAGCACTGAACGTTTGACGAATAGCCAATCGATAACTATAAAATTGAAGCATTGATACTCTTTTTCGATTTCGTGATCGATCGATTTTTTCCAATTCTGGGTGCCATCCCTCATCTCTGCGAGGAAATAAAAGAGGATAAATCATTGGATCACAGTGAGGATGTAAGATTGAAATCGTTTGAAGATGTTGGCCACGTGGATGAATCGCAATATGTCGATATGCTAGAACTTCACTATCTTCACCTACGAAAACTGCAGCAACTTCATTCGCTGTTGGAAGATTGTACCGTCGCTGATCGTGAATTCGATGATTAATGTCAAAAATCATCCGAAGTGGAGGCGGTGCTCGTTTCTCTTTCTTAGCTCGATCAATTTCTTCTTGTTCCACTTCATGCATCACCTTGAAGGCAGCAGCAAAAGGACTAATTCTCTTCATTATGTCACCGAGTTTGCTCATCGTTGTTTCATTGCAGTCTTGATTAGCAGAATTTCCCATCCGTTCTTCTAATGCCAAGGATGAGTTCAAAATGTAAAGTTGCCCAAATTGAGCTCTCTGGTCAGGTTCAGGATGAAGTGGACCGATCCGATGATAGATTTGCCCATGAATGCTAAAGCAGTAGGGCCCAAAACCTTGTGGTAAATCAACCTGAGCCCCCATCGATGCAAAACGCAAGAGCGCTATTGTAACTTCTAATGTTTTCGCGAAAATTTCTTGATTCAACATTGGTTCCTTATAGAAGGGCTTTCATTCCATCTGGATATGGGCGAAGCTCGAGAAGTTGAACAGATCCATAGTGACGGCACTGCTTGAATTCATCGTGTCTATCAGAAGCGCAGTCGCCCTTAAAGTGTAGAGCATTGCAATGTTCACAGAGATTATCCATTCTCCTATGATAACTTTCAGGAGGAAATTCGTCTTGAAGCGCAGCTGCATACAAAGTTGAATTTCGCTGCCTACGACGGCGGTGACGAAACGTATCCTTCTGTTCCTCCGTCTTCTTCCTCGGATCTTATGTGATGTTTCGACTGCAAGCTCCTTAGCAGTATCGTCGAAATCCGAGATATCTTTTTGATCGCGTGCTGTTGGTATTATCTTTTCACAATCGCAATCCACAGTAGAATCTTTTGATGCGTGCGTCGGTTAGCATTGATATTATGAAAATGGTCTGTTTGCAATTGTGACGGGTCTATTTATACCCTTTTGTAAGCCATTGTAGAACCTTCGAGAACATTGAGGATCATGCATCGCCTAATGTTACCGAAAATTCTACAATGTCAGTACAATTTCAGATGGCTCTATAACATTCGGCAACAGTCTACACATTTCTAGAACTTTCTAGAAATGTAGGAGCAACCGGCTTGACCTTTAATGCTGCGCCTCCATCATCGCACAGTGGCGCCCTCTACCCGCTCCATCATTTTCACGTAGACTGTAGTGCCCTCTATTATTTCCACCAACTGCACATCGATTGTGGCGACAGCTCTCATGCAGATTGCAGCGCCATCTACTTTCTTCACATGTGGCCTACTTTTATCGAATCAGACCGGTGACGGACAGACAAACAGACACTGAACGTTATTTATATAGATTCTAAATCTAAGCTAAACAACGTTTAGTTTCATTTCAGAACTTTGTATCGAATTGACGAGATTATTTTGATTTAGCTCGAAACTGAAATGCTGTAAAAATTTTCTCTTTTCTTTGTATAAAACAGTCAAGATCATTCTCGTCAATCGTCACCAAATTCCCGCTTTGCTAGACCTGTACAACAAGAACAAACAAAATTACCATTTGGATGTGTACTCGATTTATTTATTCGTCAAAAATTAGCAATTCGAGAGATAATTTCATTTACTCATGCACAAAGACAATTTCGTCTTGTCGATCCAATCAGTCTTACAGATGATTTTGGTACATGGTATTTTGATCATTTTCATGATCTCTTCGATATTTGGTTAAAACCATGTTCTACTGAACCATTTCCAATGCAATGGAAGTTTGCTGAAAAGGGTCAAATTTATTTTCAAATCGATGATGGAAAAACAATGTTAATTGAACGACCAAATACGAGTTCATTGGAAAATTTTATATGTGATATATGTTCGAAAGAAGATAATGGTATGGCTGATATATGGTTGAAACGATTGCGACAATTTGAAGATATTACAACATATTCACATTTAGCTAATTTGAAAGAGACTGATTGGGATAGAATTGCTCAATTGTCAATGAATGCTAGAAAAACAATTAAAACATATGTCGATCGAGAAAAACAAACAGCTGATAATGGAAAACGGGAAAAAATCGCCAAGAAAGACAAGAATGAGGATGCAGAAGAACAAGAAGGTATATATATATCTTTTCGAATATACATTTTTCTTCTTTTTTCAAAGTAAGCATCATTATCTTCTGGTAAAAAGAATATAAACGTCAATCGTTTGACTCATATTTTCGTCACAAATAGAGTACGGTAAATCCTGATCAAAAGCCCAATGTTGTAGCTATTTGTGAAGAAAAATATTGGTAAACCTGAGTCTTCAGTCTATAATGTCGACAGCAGAGCCCGAATCGAATCGGGTTTTTCGAGTTCGGTTCGGTTCGGTTCGATTCCTGATTAAAATACCCGGTTAGAGTTCGGTTCCGTTCGGTTCGACTGCGATTTAAAAAGCTCGATTCGACTCAAACCGAACCGAACCGAACTTTAGCGGTTCGGTTCCGGCTTTAGCCCTGATTTCAGTGCTCTCCAGCTCCATCAACTCCACTGAATCGAATTTGCAGCAAAAACTATTGTTCTTGGTAGGCTCGGCTGCATTTGACAGTTATTTTGATGGGTCAGGTCGAGTTTGGTTCGGCTCAGCTAGTTTCGAGATTTGAAAAGTCGGTTCGATTTCGGGCTCTGGTCGATAGGTCAGGCTAGTCTCTCAGAAACACGCAAATTCATGCTAAAATTTTCTGAGCTGTAGCTGAATGTAGAGCTGAGATAGAATCATCGAAAAAGTTCTCGACAATGTAGCTTGTCAGTTTCTGCGATCTCAGTATTCTGTGGCAATCTTCGGACCCAAGTAACTATGGGTACATTAACCTGCAATTGGCGTTAAAAAATCGCAAATAGTTTATCTATGTGTACACTTGAAAAAATAAGAAGTATCAAAATTTTACGAGTAGAATAAAAACGATCGCGAAGAACATTTGAAATACCAATCAATTAAGTTTTATATTTCTTTAGAATCTGTGATATCATATTCAAAATCGGAATTATTGGCTAATTTACATATGATAAAATTATTCATTTACTATACATTAAAAGATAATTCTGATTTTACACAACGTGGATTATTAGCAAAATTAGATCCCGAATGTGTCGAATTATCATTTAAAGAAATACGTGAAGAAGGCTTTTCAGATGATGGTCGATTCGATGATATGCAAGAATTTTTTCTTCCATTAACAATAACTGAACATGAATTGGAGATGGAGCGACATAATCATACGAATCTTCGTCAACAACGAGAAGATGAACGTCAAAAATTGATCAAAGAAATCGAATTACTTCAAAAGGTGTACAATGAACACGTTAGCATCAACTGTACTTACGATAAGCAACTGGCAAATGTACAAAAGAAATTAGAAGATCATCGACGTTTGTCTTTAGAAAAGAAATCAGAACAAATGAAAAATGATAATCGTACAAATGATCAGAGACGAGCACAACTGATGCGTCAATTATCTATAGAATGGAAAGAAAAAGAGCGAACATCAAAACGCGACATGAATGAAATTCAAGAAAATAAAGATTCTAATAATACGGCTGTTAAAGATTATGAAAGACAATTAGATGAAAAACGAAATAAATTGAAAAATATCGAATTCGATTTGAATAAAAAACAAAAGGTCGTTCAGAAAAAATTGGTAAAACCACATCGAGGTTTTATTATGTTTGGTCCACCAGGTAAAATCAAAACTATTTAATCAAATCGAATATTTCGAATTTTGTTTAACTCTTTTCAGGTACGGGTAAATCAGAAATAATGAGTAAATTGGCAACTAAAATCGGTATACAAATGGTTGGTCCACCACTAGCTGCCGGTGAATTAAATCGTCCACTTGTTGGTGAATCTGAACGTATTATTATTGCTTTATGTACACGTTGTAATCACATACCATATACACAATGTTGTGTATCGATTGATGAAATCGATTCTCTAGCACCGAAACGTAATGAAGATTCATCAGAAGGAAAAGTTGATAAGATTAGTGTTCTACTTGGTCTTATTGACGGCATTAAAGATATTCCAAATTTGATGATATTCTGTGCGACAAATCGTTTACATATGATGGATGAAGCATTTCTAAGACGTATGTCGGATAAATCTTTTGTTGGTCGACCATCATTAGAAGCACGACGAACTATTCTTTCGGACATCCCAGATTGGGCTGTGGAACCAAATGTGACAAAAGAACTGAGCATTGCTACAACAAATTTTAGTGGAGCAGCTATCGGGTATGTTTATTATCTAACCAAACAAAAGATAGAAGATGAATTGTGTCTTAGAGAAAAAAAACAATAACAGTATTATCTATCAGATTATTTAAAATCGGAGGGATGTCATAATCCCAATAACCCGGTTGTCCACTTCAATAAAGGGAATTACCCGAACTATGTCTCCTCAGACGCTGAGGAATTTGAAGTAGTTTGGGGTATCGAAATGGATATCCGCTATCGGTACCGAATACATCAGCTATATGTTCACAGAAGGTGAAGAGTTTGAGGTAATTTGGGGTATCGGGATGGATACCTGCACCCGCACCCGCTCCCACACTCACACCCGCATCCACACCCGCAGCCGTACCCGCAATAATGACGGGTATCGAGATGGATACCCCAAATTACCTCAAATGTCTCAACTTCCGAGACATAGTTGGTCTGTAGTGCGTTGATGATGGGTATCGAGATGAGTACCCAATGGGTATTATGACCTGTCGCTACCGTTACCCGATGTATCGGTATTGGGACATCTCTGTAAAATCGAACCTTAAATATCAGTTTGTCTTGCATGCAAAATCACAATTGTCATTCAAATAGAATACAGTAGGCATAGAATATACATTCAAGTAGACATTAGACAAAAAAACAGAAACTAACTTTGAACCAATAGAAATACGTAGTTCCAATTTGCATTTTATTCTACTGATAAGCCAAACGCATTGATAAGAGTATTGTTTAGAATCAATTTATTTCATCAAAATAATCTTAGATACTTTAAAAAAGTATTATATGCATTATTGTGCATCGAATCAAATCCGAAATGTTCATATTGAGCTATATTTATTTTCTTTACTCGACAAGCAGACTTTTAAAAGGTTACAATATTGATTCAAGTCAATGTATTTC